TAGTTAACAAACTTGCTGCGTTTTAAACAAACGAATCTGAAAATTGTAGGCTTAGGTATAGTGTAACAAAATATATTTAATGTATGGGGTGTTTGTTGATGGAAGTTTTTATTTATAAAAGAGACAATCACCTATTACCACTCTTTAATAAATAGTGAAGTTGCTAAATTGGTTTTCATTTCACTAATTATTCAGAATGACTCCTAAAAAATTATTCTTTCTTAATTAAAGTGTTCATAATGCACACGGTATTGAATTGTTGACGTATTTGAAAAAGCCATTAATTTTACCCTCCCATAATTAGTATAGAATATATTCTTATTCGGGAATGTTCACACGATGTTTCTAAATTTCAATTCAGTTGATAACAGCTGTGTTGCTCCAATGTCTCAAGTTTGTAAACATGTTCAATTTTTTTTTACATAATCTTTATTCTTAAGTCCTAGCTATCATATATGTGTTTCTGTATGGACTTGTTGAAAGTTGCCTGTTCAAACAGGTGATACAGAAACCTGTACAAACTAGTTTGGGGTAGCTTAGAATTATATGTAAACCATTAGTTGATTTATCAAACCTGTGGACTTGTGGGAAATCTTAATAAGACATTAATGATTATGTTGATCTTTGTTGCTTAATGACCAGTTTCTAGTTCTGAGTTTTATACTCTCATTGTTAGTAGAGCTGAACGATTAGTGGTATTTCCTCAATGATATAAACTGTCATCGAAGTATGACACACAACTGTCATGTAATTGTCTAACAAACTTGACGTAAGCTGTGTCACTGAAGGCACAATATACTTGGATGAAAATTGACTTCCATGTACCGGATTTTTGCCATTTCTATTGTCAAATTAGCAACTCCCCCTCCACAGCCATTGAAATGCTGTGAGAAAATTTTGGATGGAGGGGGGGGGGGTGCTGAGACTAAATACAAAATATTGGTACTATAATCGATATGTGAGACTAGTTTTTAATTGATGGATAACCGACCAAACATAAAATGTCTTGAAACCAAAAGGCATCCGAACAACTCGGAAATATACTAACTTGTAAGTTGGAATGATGGCTGATCGATGAAGATCATAATAGAAAGAGGCTTTAAATATTTCACCATCCGGTTTAGAGTAACATAGAATAGACATTTATATTAGTGAAATGATTTAGCTTGATCCTAAATTGAACAGGCAGATACGTGATCCAGTGAAAGAAGAGGGGATATGTATACGAGAAAATGGTCCAACTTGATTTTAGAAAAAGGCAGAACTTTTTGTAACATATTGAATGTCACAGGTTCTGAAGTTATTTCCATTACTGTAAGTTATGTTAAAGACAGGAGAGCAAAATTGTGAGACAGGGGAATTTCAGACACGGGATTTAAATCAACAATTAATAGCTACTCTGCATGTGGATAGTACAGTACTCTACTATAATAAAAACATACATATCTACCTCCCCATACAGTGTTACAACAGAATGATGATTTGTTGACTTTTCATTTGTTTGTTTGTTTCTAGTTAAGCACAAAGCTACACAATGGGGTATCTGTGCTCTGCGGTTTCTAGCGTCATTAGTCCGCAGACATATCGCTGTGCCACTGGGGGGCGACTTTTCATTGGATGTTTGTGAATTTTATGTGAACAGTCATCCAATTGTTTAAGCTATATGCAAAATTGCTTCCAGATTTTAACTCATAGCATATATTTCTTACAACTTTTCTGGGGGGGGGCATTCCCCCAGACCTCTATAGCATTAGCATGCTTTGCATACCGGTTATGCTTCGCACAATATGCATTGGCTTTTAATCCCATAAATTAGAAACCCCCTTTCAAACATTCTGCGAAGGGCCTAATAACGACATGCTAAAACTGCATGAAAATTTAGAAAAATATTAGTTAAATATATCTAAATAAAGATATATTATATGCTAGTTATGGAAGGATGAGTTTTATGTCTATTTCAGCCATTACATTTCTTCACAACAGCTACCTTTGTGAACAAAATGTAAACATCCTCCATTTTGTTTCTGTGGACTCCATTGAACTGAAATTGATGTAAAAAATTAATAGTTCCCTTGACTAATGTTTTATATAAACAACTAAAACTGAAGTATACTGAAATCGTTTTTTAAAAATTTGGTAATTTAGGGTACACAAATCGTTTGGTATCCTGATATACAACACATTACAACTCTCAGCGTTAACAGTATGCGTCAAAAAATATATTTTATTCAGCTATCATTATTATTATTTTTTTTTCAGTATCTGTAGACGAAATAGGCAGGAATATCTATCCATATAAATATATATTGTTACGACAGCGGAAGTCACGTGACTGTAGTAACACGTCATGATATTCTCGAAGGTTCGTGAATGCTCGAGT